CTGTTATCCATTCTCAAAGTCTATGAAGACACGAACTTATCTGCATATACTAAATATATAAACGATGACAATTTTCAATCACAACTGACCTAACTATGAATGGACTTTCTATTTATATGAAATCTAATTGAATGTGATTGGTCATTATGTCTAACCTGTTTTTAGAAATACTTACCTAAACAATGAATCGATTCTGAGAAATTTTGAGTATTTCTAAATTAATTTATGGCAACTCAATGACACAACAACTCACTAATTCGGTCTGATTAGAATAAATATTACTCTTTTTAGCTGCCCGAGCTTTCGCTAATGTTTATGAGCTTTATCGAGGGCTGTGCTATGTGAGGATATTTAATTTGGAAATTTCAATTTCGAAAGAAGTCGTCAACATCAAAATGACAACCTTGTCATCAAAATGCAAGAAAGTTAGAAAGTTCAACTTTTTTTGTTGGTCCAAAATTTGGAATTTGTCCCTTAACAAAAGAAATTAATTATAAGTACCTACGAGTTTAGTGTGTCATGAAATTATAGTTGTGACAATAATTTTCGCTATCGAAATCGACTGGAGGAGTGGTTTGATGTTGCTGTTTAAAAAATATATAATTTGGAAAACAAATCAAAATTTTGGTTTTTATTTCAAATAAACGCAGATTCAATGTGAACTCGTTTTTCTTGTACTGGGTGACAAGAGAGCTAGAATCCGAAAGTAAAATGAAGAACAGTTGTTATAGTTCGTTCAGTATTTGTCCAAGTCTCTGCATATGATGATTCAGATGACAGTAAACTGTGAGAAGGCCTGTTAGACATCGTAGTTCATCCCTACTGTAGTCCAACAACTATTTGGTATCAAGCTTCGAAGGGTGAATAAACGCCTTGGAGTGAGCCAATCCTGGAAGACTCTGCCAGAAGTACATAAATCTTCTTGCAATGTTTGTTTAGGAAAGCCTTAAGCAATGCTAATGACAGGTTCTGGTCCGATGAAGCTGCTTGTAGCACCCTTCTTTGTAAGGGAGCCAGCAGCACTATTGCCTTCCAGGCCAATATGGCCAGGAATCCAGATCAGTGACAATCTGTTAAGTTTTCCTATCGAGAAGTCGTTTCTAGCAATTTGCCACCAATTTAGACGTGTCTCGGTAGAAGCCAAGAGCTTCCCGCTTGACTGCACACAATTCAATAGCGTAAATCTTCGCATAGGTTTCTAGACAGGTTAAATGTCTCTGTCCTGAATCTGCGACTGAAAATAATTACATCAGAATGTGAAGGGTTTTTGATCCATCTGTGTACCAATAACTATCTGCTCTTAATATTGACTTCTCCCGGATGATCTAGTCCTCTCTACTCAGGAATAGTACTGTATAAGGCAGTTCGATGGCGGCAGTTCGATATTGACATTTGGTGACATAAAGTCAGAAGTCATTTCCAGAATGATGTGAGTTCCTGTGTCAACCAGCAGTCTGTTGTACTCTGCATTGAATTGATTTGTGGCCTTCGGCTACCAGTCAATTGCTCCATAAGTGACAATTGGTCTGACAATCATCACATAAATCCAATGGGTTTGTTTGGGACCTAAGCCCCAAGTTTAACCACAAATCCTTTGACATGTCCATAGAGACAGTCTGGCTTTGTGTAAAACTTTTTCCAAGTGAGCGTTCCAGGTGAGTTTTTCATCAAGGACAATTTCAAGATATTTCACCTCCGTTCCAAATGGAATGACCTCACCATTGAGGGAAAGTAGCGTTGAATCGTACAAATTTCTCCTTCTGGTGAAGGGGATTATCACAGTTTTGTTGGGGTTAACAGACATCTGCTCCCTCAGGCACCAACGTCCATCATGCTTTGGAAGGTATTGTCGCAACTCAGTTCTCGCTTGGCTATTAACGAGAGGATTTTTATTTGCTGTTTCACCCATTCATTCGTTCATCCAAATAATAAAAGAACTATTTAAAAACTTAATTGAATATTTATTGTAAAAGAAACGGAAAAATACTTTAAATAAAGTCAAACTCAAATGTTAATAAGAAAAATACATTAAATCATCAAAAACTTACATTATACTGCCACCCAGCAGGATCGAAGAGAAGGAGATGTGCTGCATTGCTGATGATTAATCGATATTCAAATGAATACTGAATACTGTCTGTTGTCTGTTAACTGTTAATGATCTTGACCTCCCTCAATATTTATAAAGAATTATATGCTGACATTGCGACTTTGATTCGGTCACTGTACTGAGGTAAAATGCACATAGCAACTTGACACCTGGAGTCATGTCGCGATCACAAATATTGGTTGCATTATCCTCTTCCACGATCTCCTTTTTTATATTTTCGTAGACGAGGTCGATTTCAACTTCACTTTTGATTTTTTTCCCATCACTAATGTTGTCCATATCATCGTGACAATCCATAGAATATGAATCAGCAACTTGCACCAGCTTGTTGTCTTGAGTCATGTCATCATCGCGAATATCGTCGGTTGCATTATCCTCTTTCACGATCTCCTTTTTTATATTTTCGTAGACAAGGTCGATTCCAACTTCACATTTGATTTTTTTCCCATCATTAATGTTGTCCATATCATCGTGGCAATGCATAGAATATAAATCAGCAACTTGCACCAGCTTGTTGTCTTGAGTCATGTTGTCATCGCGAATATCGTCGGTTGCATTATCCTCTTTCACGATCTCCTTTTTTATATTTTCGTAGACAAGGTCGATTTCAACTTCACATTTAATTTTTTTCCTATCATTAATGTTGTCCATATCATCGTGGCAATCCATAGAATATGAATCAGCAACTTGCACCAGCTTGTTGTCTTGAGTCATGTTGTCATCGCGAATATCGTCGGTTGCATTATCCTCTTTCCCGATCTCCTTTTTTATATTTTCGTAGACAAGGTCGATTTCAACTTCACATTTAATTTTTTTCCCATCATTAATGTTGTCCATATCATCGTGGTAATCCATAGAATATGAATCAGCAACTTGCACCAACTTGCTGTCCTGAGTCATGTCGTCATCGCGAATATCGTCGGTCACGTTACCTTTATCCACGATTTCCGTTTTGATATCTTCGTAGCAAAGGTCAATTTTGTCATCACGTTCAATTTTTACATGTTTATCAATGTTTTCCATATTATCGTGGTAATCCATAGAGTACGAATCAATAAAAGAACCACTATCGGACTTACTGAACGTTTCAACTTCTTGGGGTTCATCTTTTACTAAATTTAATTCGGGGGTGACTTTATCAAAAACAGATTCATCGGTTTTCTCAATTGTCATTTGGTATTTACTGTTATCCATTCTCAAAGTCTATGAAGACACGAACTTATCTGCATATACTAAATATATAAACGATGACAATTTTCAATCACAACTGACCTAACTATGAATGGACTTTCTATTTATATGAAATCTAATTGAATGTGATTGGTCATTATGTCTAACCTGTTTTTAGAAATACTTACCTAAACAATGAATCGATTCTGAGAAATTTTGAGTATTTCTAAATTAATTTATGGCCACTCAATGACACAACAGCTCACTGTTTTCCATGGTCTTATAATATTATTATCAATGGAGCAGGTAGTAGGTGAATTTCACCAGTATTCAAAATATAGAGAACGTACCTATAGATACTTGAAGAACAAATAGGGAGTTGAACTAGAAAACGTGTTAGCGATGAAATAGATTTTAGGGGTTCCGTGGTGGCCGTGGTAGTGGACGGACGTGCTGATAACCGTCCGTCCACAAAGTAGGTACGCGGATGCCATGAGCTATTGTGGGGCTCCGTTTTGTGTTGTGTTGTATTGAAATTGAAATGTGAAGTGTCTGAAAAAGTGATGAATAAGTGGCCCCCTTTATTCACGCCGGTATCCAGGCCGGGGTGGTTCGGATAACCACGTAAAGGGGGCTATATATGTGAAAAATTACCAAAAGGTCTCCCAAGTAGGAGGCGACTTCAAAAAATGAAATTGTTTTT